AATTTTATGTTAATCTCATGTTAGAAACGTCGAAGAAACGCGGCAGTGTCGTTCGACGATAAAACGATTTAAATGTTTTAATAACCATGAAATTCTCGTGCCAAGGGAACAGTTAAACCGAGCGATTACCGATGAAGTTGGTTTACTCGGGGAAAGCTGAGGGCTTGTTCTCGTACTTGCGGAGGAGTGGCTGGCATGCTTCTCCAGGCGAACTTCCTGGACGAAATTTCAACCGATTAGATTTCCTTCGGTTCCCAGTACGCGAGAGGATCGATCCTCCGAGCCAGCAGAGAACGGTTCATTAAGTGCGTAACAGAGCAAATACAGACACTGAGAAGCAGAACGGGAGAAATGGCAGAAAGATAAAACGCATCTTGGGTAAATGAGAAAATAAGCGCGTCCGCGTGAAAAAGCAGGGCGGAGCACGAAGTAGCCGCTTGTTTTTGAATTTTCGTTTCACGCTCGATGAATCGTGTCTGAATCTCGCATCACTGCATTTAGATACTTTCTTCCTATATATATATATATATATATATTTTTTTTTTTAATATTCAGACAGAAATTATAATATTTTAATGAAACGAGCTGCTACATACTTGAACGAGCAAACAACGTTAATGAGAATTTACGACGATGTCAGGAGTTTTCCAGTCGCGATGCGATTGTATTTTTGTTGTCCATCGTTGACAATTATTAGTCCGCGCCGTTTTCATAGAAACGTTCGACACGCGGCTCATTGTTTCCCCCATGACATTAAAATCGCTCGATTGGGATCAGTCGATTCAATTAACAGTGGAACGACAACGAGAGAGGTGTATGGTACTTGTTCGCTGTTTTTCTATCGGGTTTCACTTTCCCAATTCCGGATGCACTTTCCGCTCGAACAAATCGGTAGAAATGCGCGCGTAGATTATTATTTCGCGCCCTCACATGTCGGTAAAGTAAGGTGTCAAATGCACAACGTGCGACCACCGACACCATCGTTCCTCCCCCCCCCCCCCTCCACAACCCCCGAGCTCTATTGGCTGTAACCGAGGATAAAGACTCCATATCATTTCCATTTCAGAGAATTAGCCTGTCCAGCCTGTGAAATACAATTTCG